TATAATTTTTACGTTTTTCGCAAAATTTAAACAGATGTAAAACAAAATTGTTATATTTTAATTTTCCATTAAATTATGTCAACCTACAATTCTCAACTATTTTGGGTTCAACTAATTGGCAAGTAGCAACTTGATAAGTTTTTTTTCAGGTTCATCATAGTTATGAAACTAAAAAAGTAGTTTGCCTCCCTTAGTTCAGTCCTGGCATGTGCACTGTCCATTTGATTTAATTTACSATTTCGGTGGAACCCAATATAATATGTACTGCATCATACATGTATTAACGTGTACTTGGCCGTATTTATGTAAATGTGTTWTTATTTTACCTCCACGGGTGTGGCACAAATCCTGCGCAGTTGTCATTGCACTCCAGACACGGCCTTCCTTCGTATACTTCGTCAGCTACAGCTCCCTGAAACAAAAACACAACGAAAAGTGTAAACAATAATGCGACGCCCTTATTATTAATAGCTTATAATCTATTATGTTGTAATATTATGTGTATGTGAATAATGTATATAATGATTCTTCCTAAACAATGTAAACTACGTCAGCYWATGACGTATCTCCACTGCCAAGACTTATTTCTAATATCAAAAAAAAAAAATAATGTGACACAATATTATGATGAATTACCAAGCATCATCCCCATTCAATTCTGTGTGATTTTAAAAATTATTTATATTTTATTAAATTTTAATTTTATAATTAGGTACTAAATTTTTCAAATTTAATTTTGTATCTCAAATTCTCAAATACCTAACATGATTTAAGATAAAGTCCCAAACCTATTATTATGATTCTTGGACGTTATGTTACAACTATTCGTTAGAATTTTGAATTAGATACATTAAGATCATCAAAAAATACATTTAATTAACAATTTACAGAAAAAAATCAGCAGATCTTGGTTAAAATACATATGTATTACGAAGCATATACAATTCAAGTTTTTRAAAATGTGGTATTTAAATAAACATGAATATCAAAATCAGGATTTGAAAGAAAGATTGGATACATAATATAACTAGGTCAATTTGACACAGTTGGGAAAACTAAAGATACGGTTATTAGCACTTTAGCGCATAACGAATTTATATCTTTAAACTTTTTAACAAGCCAAAATATATTTTTTAAATATATTTCATCAATTAAGACAAGTAATCACTAACCTAGTTATAACAATATAATTTTATAATTTATCAAAATAATATTATTTTTCTACTAGAAATGTTAAAATGTATAGCAAAAGTTAAAATGTTAATTAAACCGAACTTTGTTAATTCTAGGACCATGATGAGCTGTCCAGAAAAAATGTTATCGGTACATCAAGACTCTATATTTAAAACCAGTAGGTTCCTGGAAAAACCGGGACGTATGTGAACACCAAGCTATTCCGTATATATTATATTTACGACGTAATATTTTAGTGATTTGCATTATTTTCGATATATTCCAATACTTATAGACTCGTTTATAAATAAAAAGAAGATTTCGGAAGTATATCCTGGTATAATAAGTACGATCAACGGTGACACTTTGGCACGTGATACAGCAGTGACGTCATCGCATTCAGTTGGACATTGACGACCGTATATGGGCATGGTTCGATCTCTTCGGTGGATAAACGAATACGTATTTGTAGTGTATGTATAGTGAACGAGTGCGCGAGAGAAATGAGAAAGAGAGAGAATGAGAGAGAGAGCGAGAACTATTTTATTYAGGTTTGGTGCAAGGACAACCTTTTACTCTAATGACCAACCATCACGTCCACGTAAATACGAGTATGAAATATACATTTTATGTTATATTATATGGTTTAATAGATATTATAAGCTATAGGATGATTCTTTTAACGTTAATCGACTAATAAGCAAAAAATRCAATTAAGTAATTTAAATTAGATTTGTCAATAAAAATTATACATATTTCAAAAAATATTATTCGTAGGRTCCTGCAACTCTTCGCCATGTATGTAATACTGTATATTAATATTTGAATATTATACTTACAAGATCGCTTATTTAAAATATTTTATAAATTTTTAAGTGATTTACGCCATGAACCTATTCAAAACGTTCTCAACTAGTATAGGCATTGACTTATACGTCAATAACAACTATGTAGTAATATTAAATGAAATAATATTGTGAAAGTTGCAAATTGWTTTTGGCAAAAACTGGTTCAATCTATCATTACTAATAGAGTATATAGTAGGTAATATGAACAATTTTCTTTGAAAATAAAAAAGAAGGCTTACAGACAATCTCCGCGAGATCAGAATCAGTTTTCGTGTACCTAACCTTAAAACCTTAAAAACTTAAAATTTAACTTATCTATACCTATTTTAGTGATCCACTCTACGACGAGATTATATAGTAGTACGCTATACTACATTTGACACCTATTATTCAGAAAAACGACGACTTCCTTGTTTTTTTGTTTAATTTTTAAATAGTCGTTTATATGTTTCACTCAAGCCCCCTGTCCGAACTGTCGTAAATAAACAACATTTTATTTAACTTATTGTTGTTAGTTTATCTTTATTATTTTATCTGTTCTATATAATCATTAAATCACTTGTTTTTATTGTAAATTTAAAATTACTATTAAATTATTATTTTTATGAATAAAACTAAATTTTTTGCATTCTTTAGACTGAAACTTSACATCCAGGCTGACGAAGGTCCCTCGAGATGTTGCGCAGATATTACGCAGCGTCGCGCTATGGTAGGATCGGTACTTGATATAGTCTCTATAAATACGTGCCATTTTGAAAACGCAATTCATTTCGATCGCGTCATCGCCCAATGTTTAAAATTCACAGAATTATAAAATTCTACTGAGTAGCATTTTCGCATTGTCMCCGATTATTATAAATATGCTAACAGTTTTAACATTATGTTTATTAATGGACAGTTGACGAGTATAATGTAAGTGTCCTATTCGTTCCCATTTATTTTAAAATACTATTAAAATTATATGTCAACATTGTTTTATTTATTCATTTGTGCAGTATATTATTACATTGTCAACATAAAAAATAATTATGGATTATACAACGTCCGTGGGCGCATAAGGATAAATTTGTGTAAAATGTGGTTTTCATCTTTAAAAGAGAACAGTCTTATTGCATATATATGAAACATAAAGCTATACTCGAAACAACTTACGCAACTTAAAGCATGAAAGAAAATACAGCGAGAAAATTTTAATTTTCTTTTCAGACTCCCGTGAAATGTAGAACTTGTCACTCGAACTCTTCAGAAATAAATATACCATATAGGAGCAATATAGACGCATTTATGCATTATTAAAACTGTTTTAAATATTAATCAAGCTATCTCCGATATGGCATTGCGGTCTTAACACGCGTATAAGCACACATTTTTTTTTATCGGCGAGAAATAAATCATCGGCGGAAAAAAATTATAATAATTATTTACACCTAAAGTGGGTAGGTACAATATTGTAGTCATAAGAGTGAAAACAGTAAAAGGTTTTACAGAGAAAACGGTGAACTCAAATCATAAAATATATTTATATTATTATTAGAGGAACACACCCATTAAATTGTGTTCGTTCGAGACGCGAGTTTACGCAAATACACATGACTCATTGTCCATTGTTTTCAGTGAGGTATTTATATTATGTTCCCACTTATCTGAGTATCTGACTGGTGGTAATTTAGGTATAAGTTATAACTCATATTATGTATTTAAATATTTTAACTTCTCTTCTGTTGCATGACTTTGACCAAACAACTTATATACTTACAGTTTATTTAAGCTGCAGATGATTTTAAAATGAAGTATAAAAAATAAATGTCTTGACCAACGATTAATCATGAGATAATGTTATRAGCCCAACTCCTTACTACGGAGTACATAATAAAATTAWATAAATAATTTACAATATTATATCATAGGTAAATAAACTTTAAGGATATTATGCGTCCTATTTAAAATGTTGTAAAATGTCTTTATAAATCTTCAGTACACAATAATATTATGTTGAAATATACTATTCGATACTATAAATACCGGAAATTTTTCAGTGCTGTTTCGAGTGTACCCCGTGACCCCGTCATTGAGTATAGATTACTATATTGCATATTGTGATAAATTTTCAAGTCAGTGATAAATAATTACATATTATGAAATAGGTACAATTCTAAGTAGATACGGTGGTCACTGATCAGTGGTGAGACCCTGTTGACTATTTCTACGGATATTTTATAATGCATCTATTATTTATAGTATAAATTTTATACTATTATTAGTAATACAGACGTAGAACTAAATTTTGCCAAAAATATTGCGTATACAGGCACTTTATAATATTATTGTAATTAAGATGATGTCATAATTTTGTTTGAGAAACCGTTTCGGCGTGAATAAGAAACAATTGGGCTACAGTTATACCGAGTTTAAAGAGCCAAATTTATAAATTTATACACGATACAGAAGAGTAGAATATTATACAATTTACTATGTCATAGCGTTTTTATTATTTTGATAACATWAATATAAAAAAGTGATTTAAGTCTAAACAAATAATAGATTTGAAATCGATAATATTTTTTTTATTGCATTAATGATATCAAAAAATGTAAAACTCTACAACACAACAAAAATTATCTTCTTTGTTGTTTAATAATTTAGTTGTTTAGCTTATTTCCCGCGAAACTATAAACTCATAATCACGTAACAACAAACAATAGTACTGACACAAGACCACCCATAAATTATAATTTTAATTTTATTAAGAAAAAAAATAAGTTTATAAAAAATGTATTGTTATTCTAAGAATTTATCTTATTTTGAGTTCAATATAAATCGATATAGGTAGTAGGTACCTATACGTAACATACCTATATAGACTAGACAATATTCCATATTAATTATCTCTGTATCCATTAATATTAAAATCTTTACCTCCCATGAAACAATTCTGAATGTGTCTACTGAGCACTGAGATAATTTATTGAAATTATAACAGAATATTAAAAAGGTTGGATTTTTTTCTAAAAAAAATTGATTTGTATATTGACAATTTTTCATAGCAGASAGRTAAGGTATGTTAAAGTTAAATCAAAAACGGCCTGATAATATTATGTACCCTTTAAATTTAAGTCATTTTAGACAACATTTTTAAAATAGTGAAGACCTTTAAGAGTTTAAATGAAAATAATATATGAAGTATATAACCTAAGGTTAAGGAATCAATGCTGTAAATATTATATTTTACAAGGTACGTATAGCGAGATGCCGAGATGTGAAAATTAAAGTGAAGACATAAACATATTATAGCCYCTTATATAAATTAGTCGTATAATAATAAATAAAGTAAGATTATGAAGTTATACAACTAAGTTAGATTGTAGAACATCTTTTTATAATAAAAACTATT